TACTTCGCGCGCATTTACTTATTTCATATTTCTCCATATTATTGTATTTTCCTACTAGATGTAATAGATTAAAACTAGGACATTTACTGCTTTATCCCCCTCATTCTTGTACAGTGTAAATCCCCTCCCCAAGCATTGTAATAGCGTAGGTTTAAATTCCTGCACTTTAATATTTTGCAATATATATTAACTGCTAGTAATTAGGCGTGTATGATAAGACTAATAATCAAACGCTAGCAAACTTAACAAAAAGACAAAAAAAAACTGAATTGAATCAATTGCACATATACACCTCTAGGGTACCTCACTTTGATTGTCTTTAGAAATAAATCAGTCATGAGGCATGAACACTTTAGCAAAGACCCATAAATCAAAAGATCATAGTCCCTCGATGACCCTACAGTTGCCTTTTCGGTAAATGATCTAGTCCCTAAACAAGATTGCTAAAGCGTCCCCACAAGTTGCCTTCGTGACTGTAAACGTCCCTTCGAATGTCCCTTATACATCCAACGATAGGGCTACGTACTCACTAATAGTGGAATAGTATTGTCTAAAGGATATGAGAAAAAGAACTACCTTTTCGAGTATAAAAGTAGATAGTTGTTAGAAGTTTTCTCAAAACATTTTGCACTTACACAAATACTACTTCTCAAAAACAATTTTTCAAAACATTTGCTTTGTTAACACTCTTGAGGACTAATACAAGAGTTAAACTCAAAGCAAATCGCTGCACTAAGGCATTACAAAACATTTTCAAACACACAAAGCACAAAGGTATTTCAAAATGAGCAAACCTCTAAGAGCTCGTAGATAACTACGGATGAAAAGGGTGCTATCACCTTCCCATTCCATAATCTACCCCCCTTACTCAAAAAATCTCGAAAAGATCTTTTTCTGTTCTTTTCACCTTTTCCTTAATTTGGATAACAGAAAAGTCGGTGGCGACTCTTACTTACCGCAATATTTGCGAATACAAAATGCAATACCAGTATATAGCAGTCGGTTCAGCCACCGTATCACACTTGTACTTCCTTGTTCCCACTCTTACTTGATCGTCAGAGTGTCTTGCAGGTACAACCCCCTTTTCCTCCTCGACTTCAGAGTCCGACTACAGATCATCTTCTGGCCAATTCTCAGGTTATGATCAACCAGTAAGATCATAAATTAAATTATTATTATTATTAAAAATTATAGATATTACAATATAATAAAAAAGAATGATTTAATGTTTTATATAAAAGAAAATATAATAGAATACATAATAAAATTAGAAGAAAACAACTAATATAAATATGCATAAAAATAAAAATTATAAAAAATCAAAATAATTATAATAAAAGATCATAAAAAACTCGTGATGTCGCATGGTTTCGTCTGGATTCAAGTTATTTAAATTGTTATTTTCAATATTTTTAATAAATAATAATTTTGTACATTATCTCATAGTTTATTATTCTATATTATATGATGGTATTTCTATAATATTAATAAAGAATTTATAATTTGAATATTGAATATATCTTCCAAAATAAATAGTGATTTTATAATATTAATGTTAATAAAAAAGTTATTAATTTTTATTTAAAATAAATTGCATTAAATATTATTTTTTTAAGTATTAATTTATGACTATCAATAATTTTTTATAATAATATATTATGAAAAAAATATAAATAAATATTGTTAGTGTAAATTGAACGATGTTTCAAAATTTGAATAAATGATCAGTTCAGTTAAGAAAGTAGATTATTGATCGGATCGAATAATTATTAATTTAAATATATAAAAAATATTAATTGACATAAAATTGTGATTAAATCTTTTCGATACATTTAGATAAAATTGTGATTATAAAATATTTAAAGAAAAATTTAATAAAATATAAATAAATTTTCAATAGGATAAATTTCAAAAATTCAAAAAAAATATTTTTTAATAGACTGTAACACACAATTATTACTCTAATAGTCTTCATTTTGTATCTAAAATCATCTTAAATAAGTCTTAACATCAAACAAAAACAAAATAATAAATCTTAAACCTTTAATAAAATTACTCAAATCAAATGATAAAAGCTAAATGAAAATAAAAAATATAATATCAAAATATAATAATAATAATAATAATAATAATAATAATAATTATTATTATTATTATTATTATTATTATTATTATTATTATTATTATTATTATATCAGGAATACTTTAAGTTATTTTTGTAATAAATTGATTTTTAAGTTTTTTTATAACAACTTAATGCTTTAAGTTAACAAACGTATATAAAGTTATCTTCTTCTTTTTTTTCGGCAAAATTATTTTCAGGATCTTTTAAATTATTTAATTGTAACAAGTCCTTTTTTGCTACATGTGGCTCCTTTATGTTAACTAACACTTGCAATGTTGGCTTTTTTTCTTTCTATTTTATTTTATTCTATTAATTTTATTTTAATTCATTTTTAACTTCTAAAATTCATATTAAATCTATTTTTAGTCTAAAAATTATGAAAAAAATTCTTAAAAATATTTCTTCTCACTTTATACTTCCTATAATTTTATGAGAATTTTATTTTCTGTTTTACTATTTTTCTTTAATTTCTTTCTTTTGCGTGCCTTTTAATTAATTTCAAAAATACTTTTATGCACTAAAAATTCTAAAATTTTTATTATATGATCCAATAATGGTCTTTGACCTACGTTAAGTGTTATATTAGTTCCATTAGGGTTTATTTGATTCAAATGAGGGGGGAGAGATTTTAATGGAGGGAATGGAAGGGGAGGGGAGAGAAGGAATTTTTTTAATTATATATATGTTTGGTTCAAATGAGGGGAAGGAAAGGGAAGTGAGGGATTTTGATTAAAAACATATTTAATTTACAAGGGGAGGGGAGGGATTTTATTAACAATTTACATTTTTATCCTTATAATTTTATATTAGTGATATAATATTCAAAGGTGGAAAATTCATGAATATTTTTTTCAAAATAAAATGTGTAATATTGAGTGATTAAAAAGTCATAACTTACTACATAAGGTTAAAAAATCGAATACACTTGATTTATATTATAACTCTCGACATAAAATAAACAATATACTGATAACAATTTTTAATATATAAATTAAATTATTATTATTAAATATTATAGATATTACAATATAATAAAAAAAAGAATGATTTAATGTTTTATATAAAAGAAAAAATAATAGAATACATGATAAAATTAGAAAAAAAATAACTAATATAAATATGCATAAAAATTACAAAAAATCAAAATAATTATAGTGATTATAATTTATATTAATTAAAAATAAAAATAATAATTTGAAGATGAAGATAATTATAATAAATTGATGAAAGCAATATAGAAAAATCACACAAAAGAGAAGCAGAAACACAAAAGAAAATAATAATTTAAAGTACTAAAATAAAATTGAGGATATTTCAATAAATATGTTAATTTATTAAATATAAAAAATTATTTTCCCTCCCCTCCCCTCCCCTCCCCTCCATCTACCTCGAATCAAACACACTCTTAGTGTCACTTCAACTTTTTTGAAAAAGAGTTTGATAAAAAGATCAATAGTACATGCGTTAATTAACATAAATGACTCACATGTAGTAAAAAAAAAATATAAAAGACTGACTTATTACAATTAAATAACTTAAAAGATCTTGAGATAATTTTGCCTTTTTTTTTAATCTTAGATTAAACTAATCATTTAAAATACATTAAATTACAATAAAATACATCTAAATATATTAAGTAGTATAAAAAAATATAAAGTATGATTCTAATTCAACCAAAAAAATATATAAAAGATTAAGTTGTTACAAGAAAAGTTTAAAGGACTAACTTGTAATAATAAAATAATTTTAAAAAGCACTAGAATAATTATATCTAATAATAATAATGCAAATAAAAATAGTAAATTTGAAAATAATAACGAAATTAAATAATAAAAACTAATTCTATAATAAAGAAATAAAGAAAAAATGAAAATTTTGAAATGATTAATTGATGAGAGATAGATTCTTAATATTTCGAATATTTCATATTTGAAGTGAGACATGAGGAAATAAATTTTGTTTAATTTTAAACTTTTTTTACTTCTTCCAAAAGTGTTAATAATAAAAATAGAACATGTCAATTCAAAAAAAATTACCATTTCATTGATTTGACCACTAAACCGTTGGATTAGATTGATTTTTACCGGATCAATTGTATATTCAATTATTTGACTTTTTCAATCCGTCATACTCTCTCGTTCATAGTCTGACCCATCAGATTTTAAAGACATTGGAATTGAAAGTTGAACAACTACTTAAAAGAGAAATGTGATGTGAGTTTGTATTGATTTTTTCTAAAAAATATATATTTTAGAAAAAATTAAAAAATATTGGTTAAAAATATTTTTCTTTTATTTATGGATTTTTTAAAATATTAAACTAACACTATTAAAATGATTCAGTACTTTGACAAGGCTTTAACTCTTAAGAGATGCAATGCCAAGTACTACCAAGTACCAACCAACCAACCATGTGGTGTTGTTGTTAAGGACAAGCATCGTACATTGTACTACAGTGGTAATAGAAAAACAAAAAATGAAGGCGAAGAAAGTTAAGTATCAAAACTAATGTAATGAAAGTATTGAACATTTGTTGTCCCAATTACGGGTAAGTCATATAGTCCTGAGCTGATACCGGTCGAACTGTAAACGTGGTACAGCCAAAATCCATTTTAAAGTAAAAAAAAGTACAAAAGCTCTACAACTAAAACTGTAAAGCCTCAGCTTCTGAGAGCTTCTGAAGTCAAATGACAGAAAAATAAGATGGCAATGCCATGTCATGAGAGGAAACAAAACACAAAAGTAACTAAAATAAAAAACCTATTACTATTATATGACTAGTATCCTTTAAACTTTTTAACTTTCTCCCTCATGACATGACCTTATCAAGTTAGAAAAATGAATGAGCAGATTCCAATCTCAAAAATAATATATCATCAGAGCTGCAATGCAAGATTTGGCTGCAGCTGAGGACCAGTTTCGACATTGGAGCTCCGTGAATTTGTTGCCTCAATCATCCCATTCAAGTCACTAGCATGTGAAAAAGAACTCTGTTGCTTAGTAGGAGCTTCTGATCCTTGCCAAGACGAATTTCCGGCTAGCCCCTGAGACGATCTTTGTGACTCAAATCCAGATTCCAGACCTGATAAATTGCTGGAATCTGATTGACTTGAGTTGTTGAAGAATTGGGCCTTGAGAGCTGTCGGATTAACATTTGTAGGAGCAGTTTGACTGGACAAGTTGTGTATGGTATCCATGTCTAACATTTGAGGAGCATTACCGGCATTTGAAGAGCCGGTTATGTCAGCAAGTCTTACCATCTTCATTTGAGGTGAAAAATTAGAGCCTAATCGTCCATTTGAACCAAAATCATCAGACTGCACCATGGGTTCCTGCTGAATCATCCCATGAATCATGGATTCATTCCCGCCACTAACACTGCTGCTTGGATTCATTTCGTTTTGGTAACTGAATTCTCTGTTCATTACCATATCTCCACTTTGCAATGGTGATGCATTTGCAAGAGAGAACATTCTTGATGGAGAAGAAAATCTACTTCTATAATCCTCTTGTACAGGAGTGTCCGAATTTCTCTCATCACGAACCGCAGAGTGTTGCCTTTGTGGCACATCATCGTCGGATACCCATCCAGGACCAAATTCATGTCCTGGGGGCAAAACACTGCTGATTTTCCTAGCAGCAACTTTCCAAGCAACGGGACCAAGGTTTGCAGCAAAATTGGCTAGGCTTCTTGCATAGCTGTGCTTCACATGTAAACCGACCTGATTGAAAGGAAAAGAGTTCATCATACAGTACAAGATTTTCAAACTATTATAAAGCCGAACTGACCAAGTATGACATACAGACAGCAATCTTAGAGACAGTACAAGATATTCAAACTATTACGATTCATTAAAGATGGCTGTCTGACACTCTTAACTTTACACAACCAGTTGATAAATAATGAAAATCAAAACGAAAAAACAGAATTACATACTGAAAGAAGCTGCTTGAAATTATCTTCAAATGCAGTCAATACCGGTGGTTCATTTCCTACAGGAACTGGATTTCTGTAAGTGTCACGCCTGGTCTCGTCAACTGTGAACTGCTTCTTTCCATACCTTAACACAGCTTTTACAACAGAAGCTGCAAGAAGGGGGAAAAAACCATAATTTAAGGAATCATTCCAATAAATAAAGAAGAAATTGGACAAACACTAGAAAGGCATAAACATAGTTTCTGACGTGGAAATTCATTCTCCCATTCAGATGTCAAATTTGTGTAACCTCCACTGTTATTGTGGTAAGACCTGGCTGATGCATCTGTAGGCTGAAATTTGCTTACTACTTTTCTGAGATTATAACCATTGGAACCACTAGCAATATCCCCAACTGAAGCAAGAGTTGCATCCGAGAAAGATTCGGGAACAACAAGCTCAGACGGAGACGTGCCCAATGACTTTTTCGTGTGTTTGCCCGGTGGCCTTCCCCTCTGCACAATTTTGGGTGGTGGTGGTTCACTATCATCATCGTCTTCATCCTCATCGTCACTATCTTGTCTTAGATTCTCAAAATCCTTCTTTGCTATCTCTTGCATGGCTCGAGCCTAAGAAAAAAGTCAAGTCTCTAACTTAGACACCACATTTAAAGGGATGAAATTGAAATAGATTAACTGAGGACTCCACCCTACCTGCCGATAGTAAATAGTGTCTGATGAATTGTATTGCATTGCATTAGAGCATACCAAGAACACGTCATTCTGCAAAAATGAAGCAAAAGTGTATTTCAAATTTGTACTGAAATATCAGACAGTAAGAAGAATATATTACCCGCGAATTAAACATAATAAAAAATCCAAATCTACTAATCAACAGCCTAAATTACCACAAATGTGAGTTGGACTAATAAGTGCACATATGATACAATGACCAGAAATTACTATCGAACCAAACAAATGGCATTTCAAGAACAGCATGGTAACTCTTAGTCAGCACATTATAAGATGTCAGATCAAACAATGAAACGATAAGAATTACTAACCGAACCAAACAAATGGCTTTTCAAGAATGACAACTGTTTCTTAATGCAACTTGAGCAAGCACATGTTGCCAATAAATTATCAGTTTGAAAAGTATGTAGTTTCCAGGCAGTGTTGTCGATGGCGGTCCATGGTGGAGAGCCAAAATCCGGCCATACCAGCCGTTCTGCGCCGCCGTTATAGCAGATTATGGCGGAAAACCCCGCAATATTGGCCGATATTTATCATTGCAGCAAGCCCAAAAACTGTAATGTATATCCACCATGGCACCGCCGTTTGATAACACTGTTTCCAGGTGATGATTTTTATAAGCACTTGCTCTAAGAAACCTCATAATACCTATTTTGCAAACCTTCTATACACAAACTCGGCGTACAGTATAAACAATTCAGAAACATTGTGTATAGTTACATTTCAATTTCCAAGTAACCTATCAGATGAATCGAATAATGAATAATCAAATAATCGAATAGTGTTTCTTTACAAGAAGCAACCAAATAAGGGAGGGAAGTAAGTGTGTTTGCTTGGCTGGTGAAATATGGCAATTGTTCATAAATACCAAAAACTGAAAAGAAAACACGGAAGAGGAATCAGCTACTCATAAAGAATCGCGAAGCTACGTTTTACGCAACAGTATCTCAAAAAGATACTGCTTTATTTCAATTATTTCTTGCATTAATGCAAATCCAAATAGATGAGAAGCGTCGCATAATGAATAGTAAACAAGGTTTAGGAGCAGAGGCGGAATTAGGTAAACAGATCAAAATTGCTATACCAACCTCAAACTGTTCAAGGCAGATATACAACCCCTCGTCCAATTTCTTTCTTATAGTTCCAAAATCCATAGGGTGCTTAACGATATCATGATAATCAGGGAGCTGCAGCAAGAAAAATTCATTGTCAAATTAGTGATAGGAAGTACTGAAATCAAATACCATATATGTTAGTTAGCATAACAAAAAAATTCACCTCTTCTGGATCCACCGGCTCAGAGAAAACCCCATGTGTGTCCTTCCTACAAGATGGTAATTATGAACAGTAAAGAACAGAACTGATAGATTTTTCAAACTAAAAAGAAAACAAAAAAATAAAAAGAAGATAGAAAGAAACAAATAAGAGACACACTTTTGAAGTCTGTCAAGGATAAACAGCAAGAGCTTTTTGTCTGGCAAAGGTGTAGTGGGACCGGACACAACCTGCGAACCTGTCAACACACAATAAAAAAATCGCCATTAATATTCCCCCACTTACTTATACACCCCCATCTAAGAAAGATTTCATAATTTCATATACAACAACAATACAATACAATACACAGGTTCATTCATAGTCATACCATGTTTACTGTCAGTCGCTTTCCGAACCTTTCCATCCTGCAAAAATCATTCCATCATCAAAATTCCCCAAAAAAAAAAGACACAAAATATCTACTTTTTACTCTCTATAACATAATCAACCAAAAACCCCAAATAAAAAAAGCAAGATTTTTATCGAAAAAATAAAAAAAAGATAGCAATAATATTTAGAGATAAGACAAAAATTGAAGCTTTAAAACATGTCCTTGCAGTGAGTGAATAGATGAAAGCTGAATCTAGTGTACATAAATTAAAGATAACAACATACCCCACACAAAAATTTCCCCCAAAATTATATATTTAAAATTAAATATAAACATGAAAACCTAAAAACGGTCAAAGATTTCATTCAAGAAATTAAAAATATAATTACGCGCGAAATTCCAGAAACTAAATTAAACAAAAATAAAAAGGAAACTTCTCTGTAAGAATAGTGTAATTTCGAGAGGGAAACTGAAATTGAAATTGAAATTGAAATTGAAAAGGTTTAGGATGATGAATTGGATTGATGAACGGAAGAAACGGAACTCACGTTATGATGATCTGATCCGATAGGGTGAATTAGGGGATCGGAATTGGAATTGGGGAATAATGCGGGAGGGTTATGGTTTTGGAGATTGGAATTAAAAGCTTGTAAGAGTTTTTGTTTCTTGAGTATGCGTTCATCTTCATCGTTGATGGAATTGGAATGAATTGAATTGGGGTTTTGGTGATGTTTTTGTTGTTTTTTGAGAGATCGTTTTTGAAGATCCAAAAGAGAAGGACGACCCTTCTTCTTCCTCTTGGTGGTTGTTGTCGTCGTCATGGTTGTTGTTGTTTCAGATACCTCGCCCATTGTTTCCTCCTCCTTTCTCGCTACCCAGTCCAAAATATCTCTCTCTCTCTCTCTCCTGTTCTCTTTCTCTCTCTATCTCTTTTGTTTTTATATTTTTTTATTCAAAAACAAATTTATCGATGCGTGCCACTCACGTGACTATAGTATTTGCTCTTTTATTTCATTTTTATAATTAAATCAAATTTATTTACTAATTATGTATGTATATATGTATATGTATATATTTGTAAAAATAAATGTATTTAAATTCTTTTTGCAAATAATTTCAAAAAAATTATAAGAAGCTTATAAAGTAGTTTATGAATTAAAAAAATATATACTTTTTCACGAACGAGAATTCAAATATCAGTTATATTTAACAGCTAAATATTTAAGATATACCTGTTAAATATTTATGAATAAATGTGAAAATTAATTTATTTCCATATAAAAAATATTTTAAATTATTTTTAAATATTTATATATAAGAGGATAAATATAGATTGTTCTCATATTTTATATAAATGTTGTATATCTTTCAAATAAATTTGAACTGATGGATTACGAAAAAGTATATTGTGAAGCATTTTAGGAGGAACTTTAGTAATAGGGACAATGTTAGTGTTAGAATAATAATGTAATTGTGAGAAAGTGAAAAAATAGTTTCATATTGAACAAAAATATGGTGACTTGAGAATATATAAGCGAGAGAATTCACTCACCTATCACCTTAAGATTTTAGGTGGACAAGTGGTGTGTCTCTCACAAAGATGCATAATCTTTAATTTTGTATCAATGCTCCTAGAAACACCTCCCTCCCCCCCCCCCCCCCCCCCCCCCCCCCCCCGTACCAACAAATTGTATCAATCTCATGGTGTTCGAAAAAGCAACTTGTGATGGCATTGTCATCGTGCGAAGCTGATTATATAGCAGGGTTATATGTTGCATGTTAAGCAATTTGGATCAGATCGGTACTTGAAGAAATAAAGGTCGAAGTGAAGAAACCTCTTGTGTTGTAAATCGACAACAAGTCAGCTATAAATCTGGCGAAGAATCCAGTTCTTCATGGAATAAGTAAGCATATTGAAGCTAGATTTTATTTCTTGAGGGAAAAGGTAAATCAAGGTGAACTTGAAGTTAGGCATTGCTCAATTGAAGCACAGTTGACCGACATTTTCACCAAAGGATTAAAGATCGACATATTCCTGAATTTAAGAAAGAAATTAGGAATATTTCAGATTGATTATTTTTAAGTATGTTCGACAACTAGGATTAATGGGGTGAGATGAGATATTAAACCTAATCCAAGTTTTATAACCTAAGCCCAAGCCCAATTAGGGTTTGTTATCCTACTTAGTGTATAAGTTAGGTGTATATAAATAGTCATAGTTTGTATCATTATTTATAATAACTCAAGTGAACAATACAATCCTTATTTCCTTATTATTCTCTCTTTCTCTTCTCACTAGAAGTGTCTTACGCACTAACAAATTGGTATACAGAGCTTCTGAATTGTTCTTAATCGTGTTTTCAAGAACTTCATGTCAGAGATCGTGTTTCCAGGACAAGTGAATCAGTCACTGCGAAGGTGGCTGGTAATAAGGGCTCTCTGAATTCTCTTCCAATGCTTGACAACAAAAATTGGATCCGATGAAAAAAAACAAATGAAATCCTTATTTGGCTACCATGATACTCTAGAAGTGGTTAATGACGACATTCCTGAGCTAGCTGCAAAGCAGCTTGGGAGGGGTGTAGATAGCAAGCCTTGGCCCAAAACAGGGAGGTCCATGTTGACTTGCAAGATCACATACTTCGCGTTGACTATGCTTAGGATGCTCCTCCTTTGATGGCCCTCTGATCTGGCCATCTAACTACCTGGCAGACTGGATTGTGAGGGCGTATGGTAACCCTTGGTCTTGTGTGCGCACGTAATCACTGAAAAGAAAAAATCATGAAGCAATTTGGGGGACCTGGGATTCGAACCCAGGTCCTGGAGCACTTTCCACACACTCCACTACCACTGCACCGCTTGTTCTGTTTGTATATACAATAAATAATAATGATAATATATGAAAAGCAAAAACGCTAAGTCCGAAACGCGCGAAATTCAAACACGCGAATGGTTGTCCGCCACGTCTTCTTCTTCTCCAAGGATCTGTTGTTTTAGACAACAGACCTATACCAACGGACACTCTCCGTAGCTAAAACCCTGGTGTTGTACCCCAAAATTTTCCCTCTCATTTTATCAAGATTTCCCCTCACAAGACTTCTTGGACTCAAGACAGAATTAGGGTTTGCTCTGCTCAAGACCTCTCCTTGCACTGTTGACCTGAAATTAGGGTTTGAGTTTGCACTGAAGTAGTGAAAAACACAAGAAGGGGGGGTTGAATTGTAAAACTGAAATCTAATGCAATGAACAAGATATTTTTATCCTGGTTCGTTTGATCTCAAACTACTCCAGTCCACCCGTCAAGGTGATTTCGCCTCTCTCCAACGAGGTCTTAATCCACTATATTCAACTGAATATTACAGACTGCTTTAACAACTGCTAAAGCCTTCTTGATGCAAACCACAACCCGGTTTGTCAAGGAAACACTTTCTTACAAAGAAATCAAATCTAAGTGTGTGAATGTTTTCTACAAAACTGTATCACAACTGTGATGTATACACAAATTAAAGCTTAGAAACTAGATTGCTAAACAATGATAGAATATCAGAATGTGTAGTGTTTAGCAAAACTGAGAGAAAGAAGATTTTGATCAGCTTTTATGCGTGTAAAGATTTGGAGAGCATTAGCCATTTCAATCTTCAAAGTCTTGTTTATATAGCACTGAGATGTTGAATGTTGGATGCAATATTCTTGATTCAATGCTAATAACAAACTTTCCTTATCGAGCTGATCTTGTCTGGAATGAGGCCGTTGGTATTAATTTGCTTTCAATGCACAGTACCGTTGCTTACTTAATGCAAGTTCTGGCTTGGCTCATTCTGACTCTGCTTAGCTGCTGATGAACTATTGTGTTTCTTTATCAGAGTGTTGAGCGCAGTCTTGTTCATCAGGCTTTAGCATGTACGTGAGTTGATCATCTGATTCTGACATTCTGATATGGCAACTTCTGATGTTGATGTCAGGAACCAAATTCTGATGCTGAATAGGTGTGTTCTTGCTTATATCAATCAGAGTATCTGCAAGTTAGAACATAATAATTTAGGCAGCAGATAGTTCATACATGAATCACATAAATGATATATCTTTTCACATTGTTATCATCAAAACTTAAATGTAGGGTAGTAGATTCAAACTTTGTTCTAACAATCTCCCCCTTTTTGATGATGACAAAAACTAGATATTTTTAAATGAAGATAACGTGAAAAGGTATCAGAGAGATGCATCAGAGTAAGAAGTTATCAAAGATAAGGGGTAAGAAAGATATCAGAGTTGAGAGATACTCCCCCTGAGTTTATTACTTCCCTTTGATTACACGTGTTCTTCAGGATCAGATCTTTTTGCCTTTCTTTGAACATCAGAGTATCAGAGTCTTTGACTATCAGAAGCTTTAGATTAGCATATCAGAGCAGAGCTTCAGATCAGCGTATCAGAGCTTTTCTTGTCAGAGCTTTGCTTTGGATCAGAGTATCAGAGCGGATCAGAGCGGATCAGAGCTTCATATCTTTTAGTCTTCAGAGTGTCCAGGAGCTTCCTTGTACCTGTAGACTTTAAGCAAAACAAAAAAACATTTTCAAGTAATAGAGTTAGAATGTTTGAGAATTTCTGTCTTAGTTAACCGTTATTGTTTAAAATATCATTCTTGTTCTCCCCCTTTTTGTCAGCAATCAAAAAGTGTAGGTGAGTGCTAAAACAATTAAGATCAGAAAAACTTGTCATATTGAAAGGTTCAGAATCAAAACATGAAAATAGTACAAAACATATTCAAATAGTACATCAGAAAATCAAAGAAAACATGAAAAAGACATGAATGAAAAAAGACTAAGGTTGGGGAGGTAAGTGTGTGAACAGGTTCTCCAGCATGGCTTTTTGATACTGCTCAGATGATGCTTTCTTCTGAGGACCTGCAGAAGCACTGCTGGAGGTTGCCATGTTCACACTAAAAATGTTTTGAGAAGAAACTGAGAAAAAGGGTTTTGCAAGAGATGAACACAGAAAAAATGCAGAGAATGCTTGAGTATTAGTGAGAAACTGTAAAGAATTAGAATGAGAGGTTAATGTGTTTAAATAGAGTTTCAATTTTTTTTTGAAAAGATAAACGTTTTTAAGAAAGAGAAAAATCATGATTGCATTTTAAAAGCATGATTACTTTTTATTAAATGCTTGCTGATTTTGGGGGATTTGAGAAAGATACTTAAAAACGGTTACCAGACATGTGTCTCAATGCACCCAATCAGCGCTTTGCCTTCTCAGAAGCGTGCACGCGTTCTGCTTCAGAGATTTGCTGATGATTGGATGACACTTGTTTGATGTAGTGATCAGCACGTCTGTCTTTGAGCTTAGACTCTCAGATCTTTAGACTTGCATCTGATACAATCTGCATGTTCTATCTTTCTGAAAGAAGATTGATCAGAAGTTCACAGTAAAACAATTACATTCTGAAGGTAAATATATGGAATTAAAACATTTTCACTCTGGACAGATTTTCATGCTGAGATGTTTCAGAATGAAATTAAACCTATCTTCTGAAAGGGGTTTAGTAAAGATATCAGCCCATTGATGGTCTGTATCTATAAATTTTAAGTTTAAAATACCTTTCTGAATATAGTCCCTAATGAAGTGATGTTTTATTTCTATATGCTTAGCTCTAGAATGTAAAATGGGATTCTTACTTAAGAAAATAGCAGAAGTATTGTGATACGGTGGGAGAACTGACTATGGTTTTGCGTTGGTTTTCGCAAATGTTTCGGTTGAGCAAGAGTCGCCACCGACTTTTTATTTTATCCTAAGGAAAGGTTTAAAAAGCACAGCAAAAACCTTTGAGATTTTTCTTGGGTTCGGGGAGTAGATTATA